AGCGGTGGACGTACCTCATCTTGCCTGAGAAAAACGTGAGAGCAAATGTAAAGATCCTGCAAAACGAACATTTTTGCTTTGATGTGATGAACAGTTGGAGTTGGACGAATCGATTTCATGTATTCGCGGTGTTTTTCAAGGAAGATCTCCGGGTCTGCTGTCGGGTCTTGTTCGATGAAGAAGTCTCCGGGGATTCTCAGAGTCGTGCCAAAGAGCATTTCCGCGGGTGAAGCCTTGATGTCTTCCTTGTACGCGGTGCGAAGTCCTAGTAAGACTGTTGGTACGATGTCCAGCCAAGGAGTACCGGAGTGACACATGAGTGATGCCTTGAGTGTCCTATGCCACCTTTCGATAATGCCGTTTGAAGCCGGATGGTATGGAGTCGTGTGAATGCGTTTGGAGACAACGGTGTTCGTGAGAGCGTTGAAAAGTGCGCTTTCGAACTGTGAGCCTTGATCGAGAGAGGTGTACCGAAAAGACATACCCAGTTGTCGAAGAATGCTGAGGCAACGGTTGTCGCGGTAATGTCTTTGAGCGGGATTGCTATCGGGAATCGCGAGAATCGGTCGATGATCGTGAGGCAATACTTGAATCCTCTGATTTCGGGCAAGTGAATGATGTCGAGATGCACGTGATTAAAGCGATTGTCTGGGACGACGATGTCGTTCGGCTGCATTCTTGTGTGACATTGAATCTTCGATTTTTGGCATTGGAGACATTCTCTTGACCATTGAAGCGCATTTTTTCGTATACCGGACCAGACGTACTTTTCTTTGAGTTGACGGCATGTGACGCGACCGCTTGGATGTGCGAGACCGTAAATCGTATTGAAAGCGGTGCGTCGTAACGAGTGGGATATGAACGGTCTGACGATGTTGTTGGAAACGTCGCAGTAGAGATGGACGTCAGGTTCGACAGCGAGTTGCTGTAGTTCGAACGATGATCCGTTTGAAAGCAAGTCGGTAAACTCTTGGTCGGATTGTTGCTCCTCCATGATGGTCTGAGGACTGAGCACTGTCGGCATACCTATGGCTTCGATCCGAGAAAGTGCGTCAGCAACCACGTTTTCTTTCCCGTTGACGTGTATGATTTCCGTAGAAAATTGCGAGATAAGGTCCAGCTGTCGGAGTTGTCTAGGGGAAGCCTTGTCTGCTCGCTGCAAGAAAGCATGGATAAGCGGTTTATGATCGGTTCGAATGATAAACTTACGGCTCTCGAGAACGTGTTTGAAATGTTTGATCGCCGCGAAAATGGGAGCGGTGCACTTGGACACAGTACAATTGGACACAGTGCAAATGGACACGTTACAAATGGACACGAGATTTTGCACACGGTTCAATTGGACACAGTGCATTTGGACACAGTAATTTTGGATACAGTAGCTTTTGGACACGTAAGAAAATATGCGTCGTTTACTTGGACACCGCTCACTTGGACACTATTCATTTGGACACCGTTTATTTGGACACCGTTCATTTGGACACAGAGAGACGCGCACCGTTAATTTGGACACCGTTCATTTACC